ACAGTTTAAATAAAGTAAAAATCAGCAAACAATGTGGAACCAATTAAATAAGAAACTAATGTTTAAAAAAACTTCCAAAATCACCTTAGATAAACGGCAAAAGTCAACAGGCTTTTCAAAATCCAAAATACTGCCAAACAGGCGTTTTTGCATTTCGTTTCGAAACTAAATCATCCGCCATCGTCTTGTCTGTCTCACCTCACCTCACTCTTCTTGTCAGTCAGCTCGACTCACTCTCCTCACTGGATAAATTAAATCTGATCTGTGATGCGACCGTCGTTCGGCACGCTGCATTGAGCAGCCGCGTTCAGTTTTTAATTGTAGTGTCTGTTCTTTCACTGAACTAAATTATTATTTTTTTTTACTATAAAAAATCAAAACGACGGTGGGGGTCGGTGCCGTGGTGGGCAAGTGACGTAACCGGTGTTGCGGCTTAACAACGGTATCACCGTCAGCACCGTCTATCGCGGCAAGTCTAGAGTGCATTAAATTGATGTAGAAAATAAAGACATTTATAATGTTACAAAACATTTCTATTTAAAAAATGCTCTTTTAAACTTTCTATTCATCAAAGAATCCTGAAAACAAACTGTTTTCAATATTGATGGAAATAAGAAATGTTTCTTGAGCAGAATATTAGACTAGTAGAAAAATTGATTTTGAAAGATCATGTGACACAAAAAAATTGAATAATAGCTGCTGAAAGATTCGCTTTGGCATCACAGGAGCAAATTACGTTTTAAAACAAAAAACACGATTTTTACATTTGAATACTTTTTACTTTTATTTGCATTTGTATTTTTGATCGAATTAATGCATATGAAACGTCTTTCAAAAACATTTCACAAACTTTTGAGCAGAAGAAAAGTATGGGTAGGGTGCATTTTCTTAAACCGTCTCTTTCTGTCACAATACCTCAGGTCTGGGTCTGAAGGAGTTTTAGTAGACCTTAGTGACACCACACCCTCAAGCCCTGGCTCCACCTCCAGCCCCGACTCTGAGCTGCGATTGGCTATGGAGCTCTCGTCCCGGGCACAGGAGGAGGAGGAAAGGAGAAGGAAGGAGGAAGAAGAGGAATTACAGAGGATTTTACAACTCTCCTTAACAGAGAAGTGACCAAGTAAGATGAGGGAAGGAAAGAAAAAGGGAGTTCCTGTTATTGCCATTACCATTAAACCTTTTTATTTACACCCTTCTTCAGATTCAGCAGTTCTCTGTTGCCAGCCACTGACATACGACTACACATATTTACATATTGGGTTTGCAGCCAACATCCGAACATTTCTGCTGCTTTATCCTTAAACAATAAGCAAACATTTTGTTTCATGAGCATTTGACTGCATTTTCCGACTTCCTTTTCCTCCTTCAAAGAGGTGATCATGCATGTATTTTACAGGAAATCCAGTGCTGCTTTTTTAAGATTACATGGTAGAAAGGTTGTGACGTCCTTGAGTTTGTAGTCCTATGACTAGATAAAGTTGTATTGCTTGTTTTGACGCAAAGGAAGGTTGTTTTGCATTAACGTTAGCTTTAGGTTTATATTAATACTATATCTCAGGGTTAAACTGATACTCACCAGTTGTCGGTTCCTTTAAAACCATTTTATACGCAGCCAAGGAAAGTGAAAGAAATGTATGTTTTACACAAAGCAGTAGGACAGTACCATTTTCAGCCTTTTCGTGTGCTTTTGTCATTAGACAACTTCTGACTGAAGCATCTCTACCGTAAAGGCAATAAATCACACCGCCGTGCCTCGTCGGAGCGAGAGGCACTCATACAGACCGGGATATTTCTGAAAAGGCCTGTCCGATGTAAGCTGATACGCCTCAAGCTTTTAGTCTGCCTAATTTGTAAAATGATACAATAAAACCGCTTAGATCGCCATGAGTATGTTGTAATGCAAAGAATGAATGTGGCAGTACTGGGTCACTTTTCTGGCACCAACCAAACCTCATGCTACACTAAAGGACTAGGGGAATGTGTGACAAGAAACCCAGCTGTTTTTGTCTGTGGGGATGTGTGTGGTTGGACAGCATTGTTTGCTGAATGAGGTTCTGATGTGGTAAATGTGGAAGAACCTGCCCTGCTCTGTTTGGGGATCTTTAGGGAATCTCACGCTGTTCCTTCCTGTTGTAGCTGACAGTGCTATTTATTTTGTCAACGTGTTTTTTTTTTTCTTGATGTCTTGTCGACTTCATTGTGTTTTTAAAGCCTTATGAGGCTCAAAAGACGTCTGAGTATTGACTTGCAGCTTGCAGTATCTCTCACTACTTTCTGTATGAAGCTTGAACCGATTTTAACCATATCTTCTGTCACCTCATCCTATGTCATAAATGGACATTTATATTGCTTTCCTCTTCCTGTAGCTAACCAGTTTTTTTTCTTGATGTCTTGTCGACTTCATTGTGTTTTTAAAGCCTTGTGAGGCTCAAAAGACGTCTGAGTATTGACTTGCAGCTTGCAGTATCTCTCACTACTTTCTGTATGAAGCTTGAACCGATTTTAACCATATCTTCTGTCACCTCATCCTATGTCATAAATGGACATTTATATTGCTTTCCTCTTCCTGTAGCTAACCAGGATCTGAGGATAGTGGCAGCCACAGTCTCGCGTTTGTAATAGGGATGTTTTATATTAACAGGACATTGATTTTAGTTTCCTGTATTTATTCTAATGCTGCATTTAAAGAACAGAGTAGAATAAATCCGATGTTCTGGCTACGGTTATCCACAGACACAGAATTCCATTTCATTCTTTATTTAAAACCTAATTTAACTTTTGGTATTTGGGTAGAAGTCTTAACTCGAACTAATTGCCAAAATGTTTAATGGTCTCTACCGGATCAGGGTTAGTGTTGGTTTGATTCTCGGTGAATTGTCATGCTGCAAAATGCAAGAGAAAGTATCCTCTTTAAGCATGTTGAAGAAATCCTGAAGGCATTTGTAAACTGTGATGTATATTTGACACACACACAAAAAATGTTTTTACTTTAATAAAAGCACTTTATTGACTTTTTGGCGCTTTATTAACTGTGTGACAGTTGCATAGCAACGGCAAATCAAATAAAAAAGGTATAAAAGCAGTCAAGGTGGTCAGTTATAAACATTTATTTTTACTTTAAATTTTAAAAGTGGTTGTTCGTGGCACAATATCTGAAACTTCAAAATTACGAATATATCTTGCCATCAAAAACATGAAATTGCTTTTTTATATTTTTATTCATACTTTTTTTTAAATCTTAAGATTCATGCAATTCTTAATCATTTATTCATTTTAAGATTTTAATTATATTAGTTTATTATTAGTTATTGTCACATTACCTAAAGGGTCTGATAATTTATAAAGTCTTGTGCCTTATGAATTTAATTAAACAAACCAACAGATGGCACTGTTCTAATGCATACCTATTACCTATCTGAGTGCGTCTTCTTTTTTTAATTATTATTTCTTAAATGCTTTTTGTAGTGTCTCTTTTTCAAAAACATTATCCTATGGAAGTATTTTCTGGACTGTATTCAAAAGGAATTGAAAATTATAATTGTAAGTTGTATTTGCAAGTGTGTTTTCAATATGTGGACACCAAAATTCTGACATAATCCAATGTCCAAGATGACACCAAATATAGTAATGTTATTGTAAAAAGCGTGTATTAGAGGATGTGGCATGAAGGGGATAATTTACTGGCCTCATACACTCACATCTCATACAGATGTGGTTGTTGTTTATTCATCCAAGGATACACTTTCCCATTGAGAAATCTCGTGTAATGTGACATTTCTTAATAGGCCCCTGTGTTAGATGTGAGCGCTTGTCATGGCACCTCATCTGCACTCCCTTCTCAGCAGACCTTCGAGTGCCATGTGCTGGCAGAGGAAAGCTGTATGTCAGCAGTGGTTTGAGGCAGTGTGCCGTCTGTGGGAATAAAATCATGATTTTAGTGAGATCACATGTGGAAGTGAAGGAAATAACCGTTTCGAAGAAGCTGACTTTTTATGGCCTGTCAAATGCATCAAACTTTACATTAAGGCTGATTACATATCAAATTCATATCTGTCGTTTTTACATACATGAATATCCACTATTTTCGCAACGCTGAAGTAAGATATTTTCGGTGAATGTGCAAGTCTTTTGATTCATTAGCCACTATAACTAGAAGAATAACAAAGTGCAGTAAACAGTAAAACCTGTGTTAGCCTACCTGAAGCAAAATACAGAATGCTACAGCTTGTTCATCTTTGGCTTTAAAAGCTTTTAATGACTTTTTCAGGAAATAGTTCTTCACTCATTTAGGTTGTTTGACTTAATCAGCTCAAGTGCTCATTTCCGTGACTTCAGCTCAGCAGGTGTTTCACTTGTGGGCCAACTGCTAAAAATGTGATAAAATCATTGTGAAAATATATACTGTATATATATAAGTATCCATTTGTCCTCTATTTATCCTGTGTGAGGGAGAGATAACCTGCTCAGCAGATGCTGGTCTTATTGCATGTGACTGGATTAGAAGGATGAGTTGTTTCTCTCCTCTAATGAGAAAAAGACATTCACTCCGTGACTGATGGGACTGAAGAAAGCACACTTAGGCAGACAACAGAAATACTGAAGTTTGGAGCAAATGTGATGGAAGTGTGAATATGCTAATTATTCATGATAATATTATAAAAGCACTATGGTACTACTATACCAACTACAATCATATATTACTTTTAATGGTAGCTTACACTCTCAGGGGAAAAAAAGATACAAAGCTGTTACTTGTATCTTATTTACCCCTAAATGGTACATGGCTACCATATATATTAGTACTTTACATTTTGAAAGGGTGCCAGTTTTCTGAGTGCAATTACCTTTAGGCCTATAGAAGTATAGTAAAACATAAAAAAAATGATTTAGCACTGTTCCATTCAGTTATTTATTTTGAACACAAGCACATTCATACTGATTCAGACATTGACTTTCATTTAATTTATTCTATTCAGTAGCCGTATTCAAGAGGTCTGACATTCAAAAACCAGTCAAATATTAATACATATTACAATAAATACATGAAAATAATATTAAATAAAAAAAATAAATACGTATAAATTCAGACTGTAAACATTTTAGCAGCTTGCAAACTGTAAAAAAACACATCCTAATTTAGAACGCATGTGTTTGAAATCGTGTTCAGTTTTAAACATTTAAATTATAAGGTTTGGGGAGATCTGGACTTAATTACAGTGACGTTTAATCGGAGATCATGACTCGATTTAATTAAAGCGTTGCAGGGAAGACGCCAATGGTTTCATCAATATTAATTAGGTCATACTGACTTTGATTCGCAACCTTCCAATAGCGAAGGGTTGGATCCCGACTATTAAATAGTTCGCGCTGACGTTGCGTTGTTCTCGTCCAATGGCTTGGCTTGGCTCATTAATATTCAAAATAAAGCCTTCTCCATAGTAGCGTTCAGTTCCCGGCGAATTTCATCCTGAGGGCTTGTCACCTGCGTCGAAGAGGTTTGTAGACGCACACTGCCATTCCAATCATGACCACCAGCAGTGTGGACAGAACACTTATTAGAAGAACTGCAGGAGATAAAATGAACAAACAATTCAAATAAATCCACTGGTGCTCATCTAGTGCAGTGCATTACGATCATATTTTAACTGAGAGGCCAATTTAGCATTTACAAACGACAGCACATAAAAGTGAATCTATACTAAACTGTGCTGTCATGTGGTGACACAATGGCAGGTTCACCCTTTGTGGATGTAATAGGCCTGACACAGGTTCGCTCGCGTGTGTAAATTAAATTCTTACCCAGATTTTGCCTCAGCAGGACTTCATAGGGTCTAACATGTAATCTAGACTCTCCCAGCTGAGCATTTCCAGAGTGGAAAAACGTTATGCAGCAAGCGATGAGAGAAATCAGGCGTGCTGCTGACATTGTAGCGAAACAGCGAGCAGGATGCAACCAAAATCCACACATACAGCTCGACGCTTCTGGAAGGTCCTAACGCCGTCGGGTTAAAGGGATAGTTCACCCAAAAATGAAAATTCTGTCATTAATTACTCACCCTCATGTTGTTCCAAACCCATAAGACCTTCGTTTATCTTCAGAACACAATTTAAGATATTTTTGATGAAATCTGAGGGCTCTCATGATCATCCCAGTGCATGCCCTTTGCAGTTTCCAATGCCATTACACAAGTTGTGCCTAATTGATGTTATTGGGACAGACTTGTTAAATATTTACCATAAATTCAATGATGATGCTCTAGAGATTTTTTTTTTGTTTTTTTTTTGCACCTAATGCAGGTCACTCCCGGCCTAAGCAAAGTGGGATTCTGTTTGGCCAGTATTTTTATAGGCCTATAATGACAGGATATTTGACCATTGTCTAAAAACTAAAGCAACATGCTGGTGCTATGTTCATGTCTCTCATATTACTTCCATGTCTCTTTTTATAGAACTACTGCAGTCATCCTGCAACTCAAAATGTTTTCAGAGTAGGCCTATTGCCAAATATTGGAAGATTTTACTATTTTGCATCCTGAATAAAAAAAAAAATGTTGTTGAGAGGGACTGATTTGGGTACCTTGGTCAAATGAGTGAAAGATGCCAAATTTGCCAGCTTTTGAAACGGCATTAACTAGTTATAGTATGCAATTTAATGCCAAGGTAAGAAAATACAAAGCATAGTGTTATAAAAGAAAATGAAAATATTTACAAATTTTGTCTTGTTGATAGTTTGTTTTCTGTAGTAACTAACTATTTTTGCATAGGTTTAAAACTGACCAACAAGTATAGATAGTTTAAAATAAAATCTGTATTTCACATGTCCCAGTCATAAGCAAAATTAAAATGGTAATTTATGACCATAGAAATGGCTTACGTTTAGAATTGCATTCATGTTAAATTGGTACGTTTGTTATAATAACAGAATTTCTCAATCACAGACCTATAAATAAATGCAATTCACAAACCTTTTTTGTCAGCTGAACCCCTTTGACCTAAAATATTTAGTACTCTTATAGTACTCTTATAAATGTAAGTTAATGTTTCAATAATTTAATGTTCACGGATCTCTGATGTTGAATAATGATCACATTACATGCAGTTTTTATAGTTTCGATAATTTTTATGTTAAAATGTTTCATTTTAAGTCATCGTCAGCTTTTCATTAACTGTTTGTGAACCTTAGTTTGTTAAAGATTTTTCTACGGCCTTAACTTCACCGCATGAAACACTGTTATTGCAGGTCACATACAGTTTGTCACTCACTAGCCTTTTCCATGCAACTCTTGGTCTTTCAATATTGGTAATTAACAGAGGAGCACAGAGCCTGCAGCCCTTTTGTTAGGCTCCTCTGTAGTTGAGGTCCACATCTACTCCAGTCGCCTGCACTGAAGCCTTTGATCCATTCTGCGGCCTCTGCTAGAAGTGGCTGAATGTGGAATAGCATTATCTTTGCTCTATTCTCTCACCCCATACCTGAAACTGGCAGAACTGAGCCGCGTTTCCCAGAGCTGCGATTGGTGGCGATTGAAGATCTGGTCTTTAATAAAACATCTCATTTAAATGCCTGACACAATACTGTTCTCCTACCCCTTGTGTGTTTACAGATGCTGGATACTGCAGCTCAATGCAAATCAACATGTTAATTAAAGTGCTAGGCTGTTCACACTAAGAGAACGAAAGTGGGAATCACACATAGCATTGTAAATCTAGATAGATAGATAGATAGATAGATAGGAATGTTCAGTACAGCTTTATTAATTTTCCAAACATACACACAAGCAAAACTCTCTGCCACAACCTACAGTGCAGACATAGTATATATGAACCACATTTTGAACTATCCATAATAAGACCTTCATAGCAATTTAATATTTGGTCATATCCAGAGTTCAGTAACATCCTCAGTTCTTTATTTGGGGGAGGGGAAAAATGTGGGAAGAAAATGAACACGTTACACATAGCTAGGATTGGGGCTCAAGTTTTGTTAGAGAATGAAAATTTCAAACAGTCATGTA